TTTAACTTCTGCTAGAGCAGTGAAACAAGAGGTGACATAGATTGTCCTCGATGTTTCTACAAAATGGGCAGATAATAGTTATGTGAGTACCTCACTGCTGAAATATGGATGAATTCGGTAACTAATTATGCATAGCTAACCATGAAAACCACTTAACCCATGGATGACATTTCAACAACCAAAGAGCACGAAATAAGAGTTGAGGTGAGCATTTGTACCAAATGAAATTCTATGCTGATTTGATTGAGAAAGTTTCATTGGCAATATGAATCCATACCAATTAATCACCTTTATGCTGCAAGGGAAGTGTATATTGCTCCACATTTCCCCATATGCTACTCAATAAAGTTGAAGGAGGTGAGGGCAAATTCCATGATTGTGGGTCACCAACCCCTATTTGTTTTGCAGTACAAATAAAAAACACAATGTTCGGCATTAAAAATATCCTTAGTTGTTTTATACTGCTAATCATGAACAGTGTGTTCCTTATTTTACATGCATGACAGCTAGGTGTATTTTTGTTATCAATACAGTTGCTCTAAGGCTTAGGCTTTATGTGAACAAAGTAAAGCATCACCATGAATCCTCGCCCAAAAAGCACTTTGGGCATAAAAAATCTTCATGATGGTTCAAAATCAATGTTCAACACCGACTATGAAATTTAAAGCTAAAAAAAGATACAAATCTTTCATATCCATGAATACTCATTTTTAGGGCAAAATGAATGATATGGATAATGTTTTATAATATAAATTATATTTGGGGTTGAAATCCTAATTTTTTTTCATAACCATAATGGTCAAAGCTGAGATGATCAATTCAAAGATTTTTTTATGCTAGAAATGCAATTTTCAGTGAGTTTTGTGGTGAGGTGTTACTTGTTTTAATAGAGTAGAAGCCCTATCAAAATATTCAACCTTATCAAAACATATTCATTTTGTTATTCAGTTGATAACTCTTTAGGGTCAAATTATTTAAATGCCCCTCATTGTTCATCATTCTAAATATTAGACAAGGACAATTCAAGTATTTAAAAAAAATAAAGAGATATCTAAGTGAACTAAAAAAAATACACCATCGGATGTCAATAGGAATAATTTGACCATTTAAATAATTTTTTAAAGCATTCTTTGCCCGTGAATGACACTCTCACTTATTTCAAAAGACATGGATATTAGGGATTGTATACTAGGATATCATTTACCATTGTTATAAAGAAGTCACAATCACTCTTAGCTATTAGATGTCAAATTGGATGGCTTCTTGGGATGTGTCACGAAGTTCGAGATTTTTTTTTGAAACATTAAGTCTAGTCAGTAACACGCTTACAACCATTTAATTCAAAATCTGATTGACAAGAGTGATTGTGACCTCTTTATATTAATAGTAACGAGTGTGGTTTGTATAAGGCTGAGGCCCTAATAAATCAAAGTAAGGTGCACTTCAAATAGTGCGTAAACATGTTCTTCAAGTAACAAAAATCTTTATGATGTCCTGAAAGTTATTTTCATCTCTAATTATAAAATTTAAAAAATATCATAGATTGAACATATGTTAGATCACTTGAAAATCTTGGAAATTCATCATCGTCAACAAAGCCTTTATGGTCACCATTCTACTCTATTAAAGGTCATACCCTTTGTGAGGTCATAAATCTCAATATATTTTTGGACTACTTCTAACCACGTCCTTTTGAGTCTATCACTTGCCCTTTTCGAGTCTTCTACTTGAACTAACTCACACTTCCTAACATATGTTATATTAGGTCTACTCCACACATAGTTAGTCCATCTAAGTCTATTTTCTCTCATCTAATCGTCTATTGATGCCACACCTAAATTTTTTCAAATGGGCTCATTTCGAACTATATCAGTTCTTGTCTTGCCACTCATCCATCTCAACATCATCTCTGCTATACTCATTCTATCGTATATTAATTTTTGTCCGCCCTACATTTTGCCCTATAAAACAAATTTGGTCTCACAACGGTCTTATAAAACTTGCTCTTTAGCTTCATTGGTGAAAATCTTCAAAATTTACAGTCTAAGTAATATATTAAAGGTTTTTGCAAAATTTAAAATCTTATTCTTCTTTTCATGCCTGAAATAATCAAATTAAGAGCTTTTTTTAGCTCCAAAACAACCTTTTCAAAAAAAAATTAATGACACCTTATTTTGATCCTTTAATGTCTCACTATTATATAAAGTCTTTGAACAAGTAAATATTGTCTGTGATCTTTTTTTATTAGAATCACGTTTTATTCACTTAAACCACCCTGACATAGAGACATGGAGCTCTGTCCACCTAACATGATGAGGTACTGGTTGCTGAGGCAGCAAAAGACAAAAAGAGAAAGCAATAGGAAGAGAGGGGTAGCGAGAGAGCATTTCTAAAAAAAAAAGAAAATTGGTTTGTTAGGGCTGCAGCCTTATTAAAGTAAGTAAAGTTTCATCTTATATAACTCATCGAAATTTGTAGTTTTAAGTATTGTAAAACCTTTATATCGACTATCTCGATAAGATCTATGCTATTTTTTTAATCTCATTTTATTATCAATGTTGGAAATTGAGTCGAAAGTTTTTCAAATGAAGATTTGTAGTGAAGCATTATTTTTTGTTTTAATAGAATTTAAACTTCATTGATTAAAAATTAATAGAATTTAAACTTCATTGATTAAAAAAAAAGGTTGGGAGAAAATAGAGAGAGTATGAGGAGTTGTAGACACAGTTGCAACCCTTCCATCCCCATATGGCCAAATTACCCTTTCCATATAACACTCATTCCCAGGTGTTCTCTTCCCATATATCACCTCAATTAGGTATTTTTCTCACCACCCAAACGACACGTGTAACACAGGTCTACGCACACGTGTTTTACCTTCAAATCTCAGCCACACACGTCACATCAAAGACCACAGCATCTTCAACACGTGCCCTACCAAAAGCGTGCCTAACTCGTTCTCTTTTCTAAAGGGTCCTAAATATATTAAATGGCCGGATGGCACCCTGCCACGTAAACTCCCACGTGGCAGATGGTGGTTTGGGATCGGAAGAAGTCAAAGGAAATGATATGACTTGTTGTCCACATCATCATCGAATCATCACGCGTATACCACCGTTCCGGAAACGGAAACCCAGGTCAAAACAAAACCTTTGAAAAAAAATAAAAATAAAAATAAAGGGCATTGATCCTTTTGTTTAGTTAAATATATATTAAATTAATTTAAAAATGGGAAGGATTTCTTTGTTTCATTTCAGGTGAGAAGTGAAAAGAACAAGAAGGGAAATTACAGACACACCCCTTGGATTGTTTAGGAAATTTCTGCTATTTTATTATTGGGTGCGGTTTGTATAGAGCCGAGGTTTTAAATAATCAAATTAGAGTCTAATTTTAAATATTGTCGAAAAATGTGATTTTAATGTTGAAAATTTTTATGATAGCCTTAAAAAATATTTTTATATTTAATTATGAATTTCAAAAATAGTGTAGATCGAACAAATCTATAAAATCTTGAAAATCGACAGTCCAAAAATATGTATTATTTCTAAAACTGGAAATCTAGTTTTTTCTTATATCCATGCATCTTGATGTCGAGATGATCAATTTAAAGATATTTGAGCATCAAAACAACCTCTTCTAATGAAATTTTTGAAACGGGCTCGAATTTGATCGTTTAAAGCCTCGACCCTATATAAACTTTTTTCTTTATTAAAAATAAATTTATTTTAAAATTTATAATCAATATTTATTTTATTTTTAAATATTAAACTCAAACTTAATTTGTCCATATTTCTCAACATCACAACCCACTGTAAATTATACCCACTGCAAATTATTTAACAAATAATTTAAAAATAATTAATGAAATACTTTATTGACCACCATGCGGTTTACACCACATTTTTTATTATTTCTTTTGATTTTGAGGATTTTTTTTTGTTTTTGTTTTGAGAATTTCAGTTGGAGGGGAGTTGCAACCATAGACGAGGTAGAAAATCTTGACTGAAAAGCATGCTACGACCGCTTGAGAAGACTAGAAGAAAAGAAATCTTCACCCAGCGAAAGAGATGTTTAAATCTCCCTTGTACTGCCCATATTTTTGCTCCACTCTAAAATTTTTGGAATCTCTCAAGAAACGGAAAAACACTCCCTCTAAACGCACACCCAAAAAAAAAAAATTTCATTTTATGTCGATGGGCCACAATTTTAATTAATGTAATAATATTTATTTTAAAATATTTTTATTTTAACTTTACTTGTTCAAGTTAAATTTTATTTTTTAAATACACAAATTAACTTTATTCTATATTGGATATCGAGAACTCTAAACAAGCATAACATTTCAGTAATCTCGCCCACTGCCACCATTAAGGCTCCTTACCTAATCAAATTACTAAGATGTGTTCATTTCTAAGATATTTTTTAAAGAAATACCTCAAATTTCTGATTTTTTTTTTTTTAAAGGGTACCTAAATTCATAAAATATTACCAATTAATTTGTGACATGATTAAAAGGAGAGTGAGATGGAGGGGGAAAGATACAACATACAAGCCACAACCATGAGTACTATACACCATTTTTTATACGAAAAATATAAAATAAGACAATTTACAAGCGGTCACACGATTATTGGACGTGAAATTAAATGACTAAGCTCAAATCTCAAAAAAAAAAAATTTCAAACCTTACGACACATCCAAACTATCAAATTTAACATCGGATTGTAAATAATTGCGACCACCTTATATGAAAAGTACGTAATCTCATTGTATAAAATCCCTTTTTTATACCGGCAATCTCCTCTTTCTAAAAGCAAGAATCTCTCCCTGAGTCTTCTACCAAACCTGGGCTTCTCTAAAATTTAAATATGTGAGAAAAAACAGGTTTTTATTGGTCAAATACAGCAGGAATGAGTCCTTCAAAATAAAACCAACTCAAATGAACCTTTTAGATGACGTTTCAAAGTAAAAAAACATTTCTTTCACATTACTTAAAGATAAAACAATCAACATGTGGATACTCTTTATAAATGCTGAATTAGTGAGAAACAATGGGTGATCTTCTCTTTCCATATAATGCCAGCTTACAATGAAATGTATCACAAAAAGAAAAAAAAAAACTCCAATAAATGATAGGTAAACCCAAAATCTCTAAATAATAGAAAGCAAAAAACATACAAAGCGTCAAAAAAATAAATATATCCAAAAAAAAACCAAAAATAGGGACAAGAACTCAGCCTGATGAGGTGGTGGGGTACCTCTCGGCCGCCGGAGAAGAACTTTCTGGCGCCTGGCTCTGAGTTTCCGGCAAGCCATACTGAAATACCGGCGTCCGGACCATCGGATATCCCTGTGGATACGCCGGAATACCAGAACTCGAAGACCCCACGTTAAAACACTGGTCCAACAAGCTCTGCGCCGGCGGCCTAGGTAAGCCCTGGTGGCTCTGTAATAACTGGGAATACTGAATATAATCATGGGGTAAATGAGAGAAAGAGAAGCTTGACTGCCCACCCTGAACATCAGGCCTATATGGAGAATAAGAGGAGGAAGTAGGGAGAGGAGAGAGAGATGGAATTGTAGAGAGAGAAACAGAGGGATTGGGGTTGATGGGTGGCCTCAATTGAACATTTTCAGGGAAATTGAGCTTGGCTCTTGTGCCTCTAAACCTTAAAGCTGCTTCATCATAGGCTCTAGCTGCTGACTCAGCTGTGTCAAAGGTCCCAAGCCAAACCCTAGCTGCTTTGTGGGGGTCTCTTATCTCTGCTGCCCATTTACCCCACGGCCTTTGTCTCACTCCTCTGTATCTTCTTCTCCTTTCTGGGTTTTCTTCACTGATTGATGAAGGGGAAGATGATGAAGTTACGATCGTTGAGGCGCTAACTGTGATGGAGCTTCCTCCGCCACTATGAGAGATGGTGGATCCTTGTTCTGTTACAGTGTGAATAGAGGTGGTCAGAGAGAGTGTTCCAAAAATCTAACTGGCCTCAAGAACCGGCTGACGGCGGGTCCGGGCAACCAATAATCCGGCCAGTTCAACGGTCTAATTGGGCAGTTCTGGGTCGGCATACAGAGTGTCCAATATACAAACACCAAAACTCAGAACAAAAAATAAACAAAATGAAAAGTATATTTAAAAAAAATTTGATAGATGGACCGTAAATTTTTTTCTAAATACAAAATTCCCTAGGTAACAATAAGGTCAACTTATTTTTTTTAATTTTTTCAAAAGTTACCTCTAGGCCATCATCATACCGAATTTTATTTTATTTTATTTTTCTCATTAAGACACTACCTTAAAGCTTGAAGCATAGCCCTACTAACAAAATAAAAAAAAAAAAAACGGATTAAGGATTCTATCTTCAAACCGAAGGGCAATTTAAAAATTAAAAAAACAAATAAATACACCAACCGTTTTTGTAATTTCTATCTGAGCATTTTGTATTTTAGAAAACTTAGAGGGTCCGCGCATAAATTATTATTTAAAGTATGATTAAATAAAGCTCGACCAAATGAAGTTGAATAGCAATGAAAAAAATTGATTTTAAAAAATTGATTTGTGCCTATATTATATTCAAAATTTTCAAAAACCAACATGAAAATGTAAAAATATCTGTTGACTGAAACACTTTTCAATCTTTGCCAAAATTATAAAAAACATTTAAAAACATTCTACAAGCAAATCCGTTCTTTAGGATTATATATATATTTTTTAAATTTTTTAAAAATACATAGCCGGACCGCCAAAACCAACCAGTGCCCAATTCAGATATGACCAGCCAGTTCCCAGTTAGACCCGCCTAGTTTGTGAACACTTTTAGATAAAAAGGTGTTTGTTTGGGTCAATGTCGTGTCTTGAATGCCAAATTCCCAACACTACTTCCGGATTGTTACATTTAATTTTGCTAGAGAGAGAGAGAGCAACTTTGCATTTGCAAGAGAGAGAGACGATGTGATTTGAGCAAAAATGGATTTCAATTCTACTTTGATTGACAAGATCATATTGGTTGGAAAGATAAACTTTGGAACCAAGAAAACATGGGTTTTAGTTGGTGTGCAAGGTGAAAAAACTAAGGCATGGTTCAGTAGGCGGTGCTTCTCGAAATCATAACATATAAATATCGTCTTGTAAAAATGATTGTACTTAAGAGCATCAAAGTACGTAAAAATTCTTACATTTATTCCCACAAAATAATCCCATTGCTCTCTTTCTCTCCATATCTCTCCATATTAGAAGGGTGCAGTCGGCATACGGATGCATCCGTAGCAGTAGAGGTAGTAAGTTGCCCCTTCGAACTTTTTATCATGCTATATAATTTTGATGTAAAATGTTATTAGGATTATCTTAAAATCTATTTTTATATCTAATTATAAAATTTTAAATTTTAAAAATAGTTAAAATCAAGTATAAATCTATAAACATATGAAAATCGTAAAAATAGACCGTGTAGATCATAGGTTGTAAAATGCATTATTTTTTATACTTAAAATCTTTTTATTTATCATTGTCATATATCTCAATGTCGACATGATCAATCAAAAGGTTTTTAACATTAGAACGACCATTTTGGATGGATTTTTGAGGGGCATCCGTAGTTCTAAGGTAGCATCCTTAAACTTTTTGCATATTAGAAACACTCAAAAACACACACCACTCAAAACACCTCCTCTCTCTCTCTCTCTCTCTATATATATATATATATATATATATATATATATATATATATTAGAAACATTCAAAACACACACAAGGAAATTCAATTGCATGGAGCAAGACATAAAACAATGGTTATGTCTGAGAATAAGGAGACAATCAGTAGAAAGATAAAATCTGGCTCCTAAACATCAATAATTTGAAGAACAAAAGAAAACCACAGTTGGATATCAACATACCTGACCCCACCAAAGGAGAAACCTGCCTGAACGGCCCCAGAGAAGCACCCGGAAAGCAGCTCTGATAGAACCTCAGCCCACCGGAATCCGACCCACTTGGCTGATCCTCCTCTCTCCCCCTCTTTAGCCTCGAAGACGAAGAAGACGAAACCAATGAAGAAGTAGAAGAAGAAACCAAATAAGAAGAGGTCGAAAAATTCGGCAAGTCTTGGCGGGAATACCAGTGCTCCGGCCTAAGTTCCGGCCCCTCAGAAGCTACAACATGGGTCAGAGCCGAGACCATAGCTGACATCTCCTGTGAACTTGTGTAGCCCCCAAAACTGGGGGCTGCTCCCTCTCCTTCCTCTTCATTTTCCGGAGCCGGAAAATTGAGCCACTCGTCACTATATCCCTTTCGATGCGCCACTTTTGTGCACATTAAACGAACCGGCTCCGCCAGAATCTCACCCACAAAGGATAAACCTCAATTTTTCCGGCGATATGCGTTGAAAATTGCCCCGAATTTTTAGAGAGAGGGGTAAATGAAACATGAGTGCAAGAGCCCGTGAAATTGTTTAGGGCAGTCATACTTATTATAAGATCTAGTTCAGCGCCGCCATACAAATAGTCCTCATCGCCCTTTTACTGCACCGCCACCCTTTTTTTTCTTTTCTTTTTTTGTGGTTTTTCTTTTTTCCATATATTAGTTTTTGTAGAAAAAATAAAATAGGGGGATAGTAGGAGACCACCCTTAGACCTATAGGGGACCCACTTTTTGATAACCATACGTGTTCGTTTCTTATTCCACCACGTGGGACAGATCGGGCTTGGGCAACAAATGTAGCCCGAGAGCCAAATTAGGAGTGCTAACTCTGTTTGGCCCGGTTTTTTTTTTTTTTTTTTTTTTTTTTCCCTTTGTTTCTAGCCTCGCTTGGGCACTCCCCTTTGTCACCGTATAAATGGGTGCGAATAGCAAAAAAGTGTACAAATACCATTTTCCTTAAGGTATAACACTCAAAAAAGAGGAACTTTAAAATTTTGGAAAAGAAGCTTCGAAATTTTCAAATCCATTCTTTTCAGCTTTTTGCCGACTTATTCGAACGAAAATGCGTTCACACGTGCAAATTTGACTGAATATTAGACTGAAAAAATTTGTTTAGGTCGGCGTATTTCTATTTGCCCGAAAAGAGGAGTGTTTGGGTTGAAATTGGATTCTAGGAGTGCCGACATAAAAAATTCGGTGATTTGTTAAATGGATTTTAACACGTTTGAGGCAAGGAACGAAATTTAGCCCCAAAAAAACCGCAACATTCATGATGGCCCAAGATTTCGGTCCGTATAGGCCCACGAAACGAAAGATTCAGTGAATTTCGTGCATTTCGGATTTGGTTAAATCTGGTTAAAGTCCGTCCAAATCCCACCTAGAATCAGCTAAATTTGGGTACATGGGACCCATCTATGAAGCAAAGGGGATTTAAGGTTTTGTTTTTATTTTATTTAAAAGTTTTTCTTTTAATACAACAAAAAGCAATTAAGAAGTAAATTTCTTGATTTTGTCACGTTTTGGGGTTTGGGTAAGTACTTGGGAGGATAGGAGAGAGTTAATGTTCACGTGCGTCCACGTTCCAAGTGGCTTGCCACGTTAGATATGAACAAGTAAAAGAGGATTGCGATCTATCTCATTAAGGATGACATTCAAAATTGAAAAATATATATATTGCCACATTTTTCTTTTCTTTTCTTCATTTTGGCGAGGAAATTGAGTGAGGAAAGAAACCCTGGTAGAGTGTAATGAAGAATGTCCATGAAGACGTGGTCTCACGTGGACAATATCAAAGTCATGGCTTAATCATTTTGAAGTTTGCTAACTTATCCAAATTTAAGATTTGGGATTTTTTTCTATTTTCTTTTTTGTGGTGTTGTTATATCTTATTTTTGGGTAGATCAATAGAGAATACAAATGATAGCTAAAACTCGAGCGGTGCTATCATCACGATCTCAACCCCATTCCCAATTACTATATTTTATTACTCAATAAAAATTACCAACAAATTACACATATATAAGCCAAACTACCATAATAGATTGCAAAGAAGCCCCAAACTTTGACAAGCCATATGCAGCCTCAACACTTTGCCAAGCTACCTGCAATCTCACTCGTAATTTAAGATTTGAGAGTTAGGACTGTAATAGAAAGCACCCAAGGCAACCAAAAGGGTGCCTTGGGCATCGAGGCCTTATCAAAGCTTGGCTCTAATAAAGCCATGGTACCTAATGGAGGCACTTGTAGGAGTGCCTTGGGCATCGAGGCCTTATCAAAGCTTGGCTCTAATAAAGCCATGGTACCCAATGGAGGCACCTATAGGAGTGCTTTGGGCATCACGGCCAATAGTGGTGGCACAATACAGCTCTGATGGGGCCATGATGTTCAAGGGAAGCACCCAATGGGCTCCTCAAACATCCATGAATACTAAGAAAAAAAAAAAAAAAAGAAGGGTATTCACATGAATTTCAAGGGAAAATAGTATTTCTTGTATTTTTGAAGAATAAAGATATTTTGTACAATTTTTTTAAGGCGAGCATAACCGAAAGTGTATAATCCAGCGCTTTAAACATGGTATGGTTCAATGAACATGAAAATAACTGCTACCATCCCTCCAACGGAATACTAGCAAGTTTCATGTTTTGGTTTTTTTTTTTTTTTTAGATAAGTCAGGAAGCGTGGTCAGCGGCACAATGGATGCCTAACCACGTAAAAGGCTCATTCTTCAAGAAAAAAAAAATTTTAAATGCAGCCAAATACGACCGGTGACATTTTCTCTTAAGTAGTGCGTAAAACAAATATTAAAAATAAAGCTTTGAGCATTCAAAGAATGATGATGTTTGGGAATCCATGCAGTTTTGCTGAACTCCCATCATTTGCATCCGCACGTCCGTCACAAGGATCAATGTCTTCAACCCCAGTTCGACCAGTTTTCAAAAGAGCTACTCGGGCCGCTGTAGGCGCGGGCCCGAGTAACTAACAGTCCAAATGCTTTGTTAATATATTTATTGTTTCTGATTTTTCAAAAAAAAATTCATATTCATGATTTTCATGTTAAAAACTATATATTCTTTAAAAATTAGGATCAAATTATATTTAAAAAATATATTTATTTCCAAGCCCGCATTTATACATATGTGGGCTCGGCGCATGTTAACCGTATCTTTTAAAAAATAATCAAGAAAGAAAGGAAAATATAGAAAAAAAATATTTATGGTCAAAACACATTTCAGCTTTTGTCAAAATGACAGAAAACATAAAAAGCCACATTACAAACAAATTCTTCTTTTTTTTTATTTTTTTTTTTACTCCTAGGTAGACACCCAACTCGGGGAAACTTAGGCTCACCAGGGAGATGAGCGATCTGAGCGAACTCGCCCGAGCAATTGAACATTGTGTTCGACAACTCGAGCAACACAACCTGGACTCACCCTCGCGAGTTTTGGTAGTCAAGCAGGATCTTAAAAGAAATTGAAAAAGTAATAAAAAACCAAAAAAATAAGAAGTTTATATGTAATGTATTTCTTTAGGTTTTCTATTATTTTGGGAAAGATTGAGAAGTGTTTTGATCATGAATACTTATTTTTACATTTTTTCGTTCTTTTTGAATTATTTATAAAATATCCTTAATTATAAATTGGTTTTTTAATATGTATTTTTTTACTACTTTTTTAAACTCATTTAGATGTGTACTTTTTTTATTTTTTGAATTTTTTTATATTTTATCTTTATTTTTTTAAACACTTTATGACATGCCCAACTCTGACCAAACAATTTGTTTAGCCCATCTAAATTGTCACAGAGGTTTTAAAGCAATAGAATGCAAATAGACCTCCCACAAGAGAGAGAGAGAGAGAGAGAGAGAGAGAGAGCTTGGAGACGCTAAGGACCACACAAGAGAGGCATGTGGTAATTGATTGCTATTTGATTATTCAGAAGCTTGATTGGTATTTGCATCATTCAAAAGCCCGAGAATTTTCTGAATTTTAATCAAATATTCTTTACTATAAAGAATTATAATTTTCTTAAGCATCGGCATTTAGGTAGCCACAAGGGCCCAACTCGTACTTGCAAGTACACAATCCTCTTTCAAGATTTTAAATACTATTATTTTTACTTTATTTATTTTGGAACCCCAAACCCTTTTGCAAATGGCAAGGCATGATCACATACAAGGCCTGTTTGACCAATAGGATGGCGACATCCCCTCTTTTTTTTTATTTTGTCGTCCCTCACGACTAGTAGGAGTATAGAAAAAAAGAGTTTGTGGTGTTGGGTGTTCACACCCGGGGCAGGAAAATGGTTTATTAAGGCTGCAACCCTGTGAAAATAACTCAAGCTTCACCTTATAACTCACCAAAAATAGTAATTCTGGTATCGGAAAATCTTCAAATCGTTTATCTCCACGTTGACCATTATGATTGTGAAAAAAATAGGATTTCAAATCTAAAAGTAGCATATATTGTAATAAATTATCTAGACGGTAGATTTTGCCCTAAAAATAGATGTTCATAGATCCACAAGATCTTTAAGATTTTTTAACTTCAAATTTCATACTCGGTATTGAAAATTTATTTTAGAGCTGTGATGGAGATTTCTGGGGCTCCCAAGTGCTTTCTAGTTAGGGATTCGAGGTGAGGCTTTACTATGTTTTCATAAAACCTAGGTTTTATAGAAATTAGTCAAATTACATCCTTTTTATAAAGGAATATACAAGACTGTAATCTTATAGTGTAGAAGGTCCATGTCAAAAATTCAGTAGAAAATGGTGTTCCTAAGTTGGAAAACCTTCTAAATGGTCAACTCAACCTCGACATTGGTGGATATAAAGAAAAAAAAAAAATTGTTAAAACCTAAAAATACCGCATTTTATAACCAGGTACCTACTTGATCTATCTATGTTTAAGATTTTCAAATGTTTGCAGATATGGTCAATCTACATTATTTTTTAAATTTTAAATTTCATAATTAAGATTCAACATAGATTTTTAAGACATCTAAAGGTTTGTAATACTGAAACTGCATCTAAAGCAAAATTTAGAGATGTGCCTTACTTGTATAACACAAGATGGGCACCTTGTACAAACTTCACCATTTTAAATGTGCGATTGTACATGATATGACCTTCATCTTTGGAACAAGAAATGTTTACTCTTAGCTATGGATTTGATTAAGGCAATTTGAAAGTGTCACAACATTAAAAAAATTTATTTTGAACAATGCGCCTACTTAGTGACACATTGTCAACCACCTGATTTCATATCTAAACGCCAATAATGTTTTGTGACCTTACATCAAAAGTTATATTTCAAAAACCAAATCAATGGGGTTAATCATTTACCTAAAAAATTCATGTTGGATTAATAGATTGGCGAGTCAAATCAATTTGGAACATTCCAAATCAATGATCTAGAAAATGTTTAAAATAAACAAAATAAAATAAAAATTTAAATAGTGGTTTATAGGGTGATATATATATATATATATATATGGTTTTTAGGGCAGCAATTTGGCTTAGACACATACCATATCAGAACCGGTTTGGTTCCAACTAATTTCCCATTTGTATTAACAATCCATATCAAGAATCACCGGGCATTAAAATACTATCATAAGTAAATAATATCATTACATACATTTATTTTAAAGTTAAAACTTTAGAGAGACACTCTAAAATCAAATAGTTTTAAAATTATTTGGAATACGACTGAGTTTATGAAATGCAAGTTTAGTAATAATAAGAGTAAAGATGAAGTAATTCAATTGCAGACCAAGAAATATAAAAAATAATAACACTTTGATATCTTGGATCGATAATCCAGAAAAATAAAGAGATTGAAGAAGATGTCGTACATAGAATTAGAGTTGGGTGGGCGTAGTGCAGATGTGCAACCAGAGTTTTATGTGATCGCTCATACCAATGAAGTTGAAGGATAAGTTCCATAGGACAGTTATGATACGAGATTTGCTTCATGTGATGGAATTTTGGACAGTCTATAGGATCAGTATAGCTTAAATGACGATGTTGAGATGGATGAGTGACCAAACAATAAGGGATAGAATTCAAAATGAATACATTCAAGAGAACTTACATGTAACACTAATAGGCGATAAGATGAAAGAAAATAGACTTAGGTGCATTGGTCATGTGCAATGTAGATCTAGTACAACACCTGTTAAGATATACGAGTTAGTTTTAGTGGAAGGCTCAAAAGGGCTAGAGATAAACCCAAAATGACATGGTTGGAAGTTGTGAGAAAATATATAGGGATTTATGTTCTCACTAAAGATATGAGTAATAACCAAGATTAGTATAGCCGACCCCAAATAGTTGGGAAAAGGCTTTTGATGATGATGATGATGATTATATATTATCTTTAAAAACTATCTTGAAAATGAATTTTGGATTTAAAAACTTTTACAAAACAACAATTTCGACCACCAAGATGAATATTAGAAAATATTGTTCTAAACGCATATTTTTAGAAAAACTAAAATAAATGATTTAAAAAACAAGTTTAAAACCAACCATCTTAAAATTCAATGTCTTTTTTAAAATCATAATGATCGAGATTGTCAACTTCTCAAATTATAGGTCAAAAATTTCATCTCTAAAAAAAAATTGGGAGGACATCACATTTGAATAGGTGGCATGGCTAGGTATCAAAACCTTGTTCTTGAATGGTTGAAAATGTGAAAACGAGAGGTGAAATCCGGTCCATCGCACTTCCATTTCTTGGATGACCATGACCATACATCAGTCATCACGCACTTACAATCCTGAAATAACAAATGAAAACTACAAGTTTAGTTGACCACTTGGCAATATTCTAGAGAGAAAAAGATATTTGAATAAGATCCAGTTGATAGAGGACCCAAACTAGCTCGTTGATATGGACCTAAGATTGAATTTGCAGCTCTTGAGTGAGAAATTTATCGCATCTACTCCCTCCGTCAAAACACCTAGCTAGGTTGATTCTTTTTATTCTAAAATTTTGATAACTATACAATAATTATAGCTAGGTCGGGTTTTTTTTTATTCTAAAATTTTGAAAACTATACAACAATTATTAGATAATTATTTTTAGGGAAAATTTCATGTAGAACCCTATTTTTTCATATTATTTCATGATAGACCTTCCTTCCGTTTTTCTTTCAAGCGGCATGAAGAAATCCCTAAATATATCACCATACCCTATCATCTTTATCTCCCTCTTTTATTTATTTTTTATCATAAAAAATTAAGGTGTGGTTTGTATAGAGCCTAGGCTCTAAATAATCAAATTAGAGCCTATCTTCAAATAGTATGGAAAAATGTGATTTTACTATTAGAAATCTTTGTGATAATCTTAAAATATGTTTTTTTTATTTATTTATAAAGTTTAAAGCTTCAAAAATTTTGTAGATCAACATATCTATGAAAACTTGAAAATCTTAAAAATTGACTGTCAAAAAATATGTTACAAAATACACTATTTCCACAACTTGAAATTTATTTTTTTCTCATGTCCATGCTTCTTGATGTCGAGATGATCAATTTGAAGATATTTAAACATCAAAACAACCTCTTCTAGTGAACTTTTTGAGGTAGGCTCAAATTTGATTGTTTAGAGCCTCGGCTCTATATAAACTCTTCCTTAAAAATTAACTTCAAAAAATCTTTTCATACCATTTTCAACCCAAAAATTTTTTTAATGGGTAGAAAGAGAAAAATAGGGTTAAAAAAGCCTTTGAGTTGAAATGGTATAAAAAGATTTGTTGGAGCTAATTTTTATAGTCAAAAGTAAGTTAAAGAAGGAGATAAGAGATGAGGGATTGCGGTGAAATCTTTAGAGGTTTATTTATACCGCTTCAAAGAAAAACAGAAGGAGGGTCCACCATGAAATAATATGAAGAATTAGGGTTTTATATGAAATTTTTCCTTATTTTGAAAAGAAAAATTAAATTTTGAGTTTCGTAACACTTAAATCTAGTCCTTCAAAAATTGGATTGCCTTGATGCGATAGGGGTACACCGGATCCAGGTCTGGGTATGGGTCCAAAAATTAGACCCAACAGGTTGGGTCTGAGTCCAAATCTTGGACCTAAATACTATTCGAGTTCGAATCCAGGTTCGAGTCCAATAATATTTTCAGGTCCCGATATATAAAATATATTTAAGTATTAGTTAAACGATTCAGTTTGTATAGAGCCGAGGCTCTAAACAATCAAAGTAAAGTGCACCTTCAAATAGTGTTGAGAAATGTGGTTTCAATATTAGAACTCTTTGTGATAGCTTTAAAATATATTTTCATCTTTAATTATAAAATTCAAAGCTTCAAAATTAGATTCGATCATGCAGATTTATGAAAATTTTGATAATTGATGGCCCAAAAATACGTAACAAGATGCACTATTTTCAAATTTTCAAATTCATTTTTTTCACGTCCATGCATCTTGATGTTGAGATGATCAATCGGATGGTATTTTGACATCAAAATAACCTCTTCTAATGAAATTTTTGAGGTGGCTCTAATATGATTGCTTAGAGCCTCGACTCTATTTAAACTTTTTCCTTAGTTAAATACATATATATTTTAATTTTTTGTTTGGGTCCAATCAAATGATCCAAGGTTTGGGTCTCACACCATATTTTTTAGTACAGGTCCGGCAATCCGCTCGACGCGTCTAATTCCCCGGGCCATAAGGCATTTTTCAATTTTTAAATTCACCCAAAAAAACAAAGGGGATTATTTTGACCCCCCAAATTTGTATAAAAAAGCTATAGGGTTTATTTTTGAACCCCCAAAAGTGAAAACCCTTAAATATATAAAAAAATGTTAAGAATTTACACAAGGTAACCCAGTCCAAGTCCAACCAGACCCAAACCCAACCCATTGCCATCCCTATTCTTGGGGCATTATTTTTTATTACAAAGAAAAAAAAAATGAGATTATTATATGGATGGTGGATCTTTACCAAAATCAGAAATTATGTAAAAAAATATCCCTAACATGTATCTTGCCTATGGGAGTAATTAGATAGTGTACCCGTTCAAGCGTAGGAACTTTTTGGCATTTATCGCTACGACCTTTACCACTTGCAAGGTTACGTTCAAACTTGGATAAAAGTCCAATCAGTCCAATTTTTCGACTAGACAGGTGAGAATATAGTGAAAAACTTGGGAAAATAATAATAAGAAAAACCTAGGGAAACAGTAGAATTAGGCCTAAATATATTATCCATATATGGGAGGGAAGAACGGACAAACCAGCAGTCAAAGTGCAGGCCAATGAGCAAAAAAGACGATTCAAGTTATATCCATATCCTTCAGGCTTTTGAGCACAGTACCCTATGAACTTTTTAGAGAGAGAAAAGGACACTGAATACATACAAAAATTGAAGCTTAGAGTGAGACAATATTTCAGGAATTTAAGAAACCATGGAAGTAAGTCAATGGACAAAGCCCACTTGATGCGAACGCTAACGCACAAGCTTACAATACATATAGTAGCTGCTTACTTTCAGTTCATTGTTTGTAATTTAAAGAGATAACATTGCCTTTGACATACATGGCCAAGCTTTTGGCCTGAAGTAAAATAATGCCACTCCATTCGATAGAACATATTGATGGCTCTCACAGATTATGCATTTGACTTGGGAAGTAGATCCGGAAGACTTCATATACAAATGCAAATAAATAACAACATCTGCGGACTCGGAATAGGATAACAATTAGGAGCTCTTAAGCTATCTCTAAATTTTGGAACTTGTTTTCAAGCACAAGATGAGTATCAAAATCTAGATCGTACCCATTAATCGGTCAAAAAATCAACATTGAACAAAAAACATAAAACAATTTAAAGGTCCTTCAAATCTATGGATCGAAATAGAAACACTAGATTGAACATTCGAAAATCGTAGATTCAAAGTCAATGGAGAGATTGCTTAGGGTCAATAATAGCCAACAGGTGCAAGTGGGCTCTCCACTTGTAAGCAAAGACTTCACTTTCAAATTATTGTCTAGAATATACAAAATTTAAGTGCATTAAACCCACAAGTTAAAGAAATATATCAATCACACATTTCATTAAACAAAATAGGCCACAGACTAAACTAGAGGCAACCTCTGCACATGTTATGAGTCACAAATTTCCAAGTGATGCTGAGGGAGAAAAGTATTCTCCCTTAAGAGGAGGGCCTTAAACTTAGAAATACTATTTGAGGAGAGAAATAGAATCCAAATCTCTTTTTAACTTCCGCAGGCCATGCACTCTTCCATATTCTCCAAAGAACAAACCATTTGTGCCATCTTCGCATCATCATCATCACGTGCAGGCTTGGGGCTTTCCTGCTGTATATCCATAAAACTTACAGTTCATACTAAAGTAAAAAGATACAACTTTCAGATTTCAGAATTACCAAATACTATACCCTAAGGCCACCATTACCTTGAGAAGAGAGGTATCCACAGTGAACTTGATTGCATCCGCGGCAGCACGAGAACGCAAATAGTACATTCCAGTTTTCAGGCCCTTAAATTCCAACAAACATTCAATGAAGTGCAAATCTTTACAAATAAGAGAAAATACAAAACCCAGTAGATTACTTTTTTGTAGGAATTATGATCACCATAGATGCACTGAATTGTGATGAAGAAAGATTGGGGAAACCATAAAGTCAAATCAATGTCTGGTAGGCCCCACTATCACCGTCACTGTTCAAAGCATTGACTGTACCCTCATGACCAAAACCCATGAATTATAAGGGCTACATATAAGGGGCCTATATTGGTTTCGAGTAATAGCAATTATTGTAAGCATTAAAAAATGAGCTGATTATTACCTTGGACCAGGCATAGAAGTGCAAGGAAGTGAGCTTCCCAAAATTGGGCTGGTCCATATGGATGTTCAAGCTCTGGCTCTGATCAATATAGCAACCACGATCAACAGCCATGTCCACCAAAGTCCTTTGCTTTATCTCCCAAACAGTCCTGTAAATAAGATCTCCATATAAGTTCTCAGAGAAGATAACATCCTAAAAGTTACATTTCCGGATACAAATAAAAACATAGAAATGACCAGTAGTTACTTGTAAATGGCCTTGAGATCATCTGGCACTTCAGGGATTTTCTGGACAGAACCATTCTCATAAATTATTTTGTTTTTTAGGGCAGGAGACCACAGACCCATCTCCGTTAAATCGTGAAGAAGATGCTTGTTCACCACGACAAATTCACCACTGCAAAAGCAAGGAAAGTCATTTCTTATAAATGGTTTTTGCTCATGTAAAGCAAGTTTCAATTTTTTTGGGTTAAAGAAGAAAAAAATATACCTAAGAACTCTTCGACTGTATATATTGGAGGTGTAAGGTTCAAAACACTCGTTATTTCCAAGAATCTGGCTAGTAGAAGCCGTGGGCATTGGAGCAACAAGAAGGGAGTTTCTCACTCCATTCTTTGCAATCATGTTCCTTAGAGCAGCCCAATCCCATCGGTTGGATGGATTTACACCCCACATGTCAAGTTGAAGTATTCCCTGCGTACAAGTTGTTCTCAGACTATCTACAACAATAAAAAAAATAAAAAAGTGCAGAAAAACATAAGGTTTATTTATTTGTTAGATTTCAAAATACATTTGGTTGGCAGGATTCAGAGTATCAAGACAAACCTTGCTCACAGGACTCCCAAAATATGTCTCGTAAGGGCCCTCTTTCACAGCAAGTTCAGAAGACGCTTTCAAGGCATGGTAGTAAATGGTTTCAAAAATATCTTTATTCAGCTGCTGGGCCTGCACAAGCCAGTAAAGTGATTCGATGTTTGACAAACATATGCACAATAAAAAGAACTGCCATAGTTCAATAGAACAAATAGCAATTATTCTCACCTCTGGTGAATCAAATGGCATACCAAGCAGTATGAAAGTGTCTGCAAGACCTTGCACACCTATTCCAATTGGCCTGTGCCTCAAATTTGAGGTTTTCGCAGTTTCAACAGGGTAAAAGTTGACATCTATGATTTTGTTGAGATTAGCAGTAACTATTGCAGTAACCTGCTTCAGCAAATAAAAGAGGAGGTCATTCAAAAGCAATCTGTTAGGCAAAGACTCGAGTATGAGAAAGAAACAGAAAGAGAAAGAAAATCCAATCAAATACAAACCACAGTTGGACAGAAGGAAAGAAGTAAGATACCTCTGCCAGCTTATCAAAATCAAAGTATTTGTTCTTAGATCCCCTGCTTCCAACCAGCTTTGAAGGATGTGACTCTATGGGAACCCCCTGCAATAAAAGCAGCAAGATTAATAAACAACTAAGCAATAAAGTAGGGGCAAGTACCAACTCCTTCTCGCTCTTTTGTTTTCAGAGAAACAATTTCTCCTGTTTACAGAGAAACAAGAAATCTTACGTTTTCCCTCACATATCTTGGCAGTGCAATAGATGCCAAATTACACACCGCAGTTTCCGTAGGACTTGTATATTCAACAACCTCAGTACACAGATTCGAACACTTGATTGTGCCCAAATTTTGTTGGTTGCTTTTTCTATTGCACATATCCTGTAACAAGGATCCAGCGGTAAAATATGGCCCAATAGAACTCAAAAACAAGTGAATTGGACAACTGAAAGATAGGATACCTTGAAAAGCATGTATGGTGTTCCAGTTTCTATCTGAGATTCCAAAATTGCAAACCAAAGTTTTTGTGCCTTCACAACCTTTCTTTCTTTCCCCTGCTTCCAACAACAAAAGTCAGAAACTTCACTCTCAATCAGGAATATCAATGTTCATACCATAATTAATAGTACCTCGCGTTCATATCTAGTGTATAGTTCTTCAAATTCCTCGCCCCAACAATCAGCTAGACCTGTAGCTTCATTGGGACAAAACAAGGACCATTCCCCATTTTCCTGGACCCTTCTCATAAAGAGATCAGGCACCCAAAGTGCATAAAAGAGATCCCTTGCCCTGTTTTCTTCCTGCAAATGATAAATACATAAGATCAGGACACCAAGTAGAGTGAGAATCACAAATAACAAATGCATATCTAAAAGCAAATATGCAATCTTCAATATGCTTCAGGCATGTGTATTCATAGTTAGCAAGGAATAATAATATATCCGTAAATCAAAATATCAGCAATAAATAAGTTTTATTTTAAAAAATTGAAAAAGAAATCGTATCAAAAATATGAATCACCAAAAAGAGGTAAGTTATACAATCATGAATATTTTATATTTGGCTCAAAAAAAATGGAGTTAAAAATTGAATATGTATCATAGATTAATTGGGAGCATGAAATAAAATAACGACAACAATGCTAAACACAAGAACTACATTAGTAAATAAAAGAACAATAAACTAATGTATATGATTATTTTTCAAAAAATAAAAAAAGACCCTCAACATGGGATTGCAATTAACTAAAACAAAATATAAGGGCCCAAATATGTAAGATAGCGGTCCATCCAAATGCTACATTGCATATACCAATTGAATAAAAATATAAAAATATAAATAGAAAATTAATCAAACCTCTCTATGTTTTATTTAAAACAACAAAATTCTCAAGCAAATTCAAATTTCATGCTGAATTCTTAATTGCCTAGTATTATTGAACCTCTCTTGTTTTTTATAAGGATGCTCTAGGTTTAAAGAAAAACAATTTTTTTCATTGAGTTACTCATCTTCTAACTCTCCCTATTATTTTGAGATATATCATTATTTTTTCTCTCATTTTTTGGAAAATCTATACCTTTTATTTTTTTCGTACACTTTGTTTTTAGGGAACTTAATGGTGAAATCTTTCATAAAATTTTTGTTAAAGCAATAATTTTAATTTATTCCCATTGTTAATGTGCTTATCTTAAACCAAAATTCAATAATATTAAGTTAATGATGAAATAAAGTTACAAGGAAGAAGTTTTTGGGAAAAGTTTATTGAAAAAAAGATCATCATCATCAAAGCCTTTCCAATTAATTGGGATCAATTACACAAATCCTGATCCACCATTTTGCTCTATTAAGAGCCATACACCTTCAATGAGGCCATAAGTCCCCATATCTTTTATATTTTCTTGAAAAAATACAAAATACTGATTTATATTGGTTCTATTTAAAAAAGAAACTCAAAGTTCTTAGCGAATTTCAAAAGATCAGAGATCTTTTGAAAAAATTGTGTTTTAAACAAAGACTTGCTGACAATGGTTGTATTCCCACACACCAATTTGTTAGTAGAATGACTTAAAAGAATACCTTCCCATGATTCTTCCTCAAATCCAGAAACTCAAAAACATCAGCATGCCATGGTTCAAGGTAGACAGAAAATGCACCTAAATCCAAAAGAAAGGAAACCCTTTTATCATATATCTCTAAATCAAGAATCAGAAATACGATTAAACCAAGAACGAGTAAATTACCCTTCCTCTTGCCTCCCCCTTGATCGACATAACGAGCAGTGTCATTGAACACTCGTAGCATTGGAACTATCCCATTAGATGTGCCATTTGTACCACGAATGTAGCTACTAGTAGCTCGAATATTATGGACAGAAACACCAATGCCTCCTGCTGATTTGCTAATAACAGCACACTCCTTGAGGGTATCATATATACCCTCAATGCTATCTTCTTTCATACACACAAGAAAGCAGCTGCTTAACTGATTAGAAAAGAAAATAAAAATATTAAGTTGTTTGACAAGAGGAATCATTTGTAACAGGGAGTATATATGCAATTCGGAAAACACAGAGGTAAATATAAAAATATATTATTCATTATTGAAAAAAATTCAAAAAGCCATACTTGGGGACGAGGTGTCCCAGAATTGAACAAGGTTGGAGAAGCATGAGTGAACCAACGTTGAGACATCAAATGATATGTCCTTAGAGCAGAATCAATGTCTTCCTTGTGAATGCCAACAGCTACTCTCATCAACATATGTTGAGGCCTCTCAACAACCTTTCCTTGAACTTTTAGAAGATAAGATCGCTCGAGAGTTTTGAACCCAAAATAATCATAGTCAAAGTCCCGATCATAGATAATCTCACTATCCAGTCGGGCAGCATTCTGGAAAAAATAAGTGAATAAACAAACACCAAAGAAATGTAGTCAAAGGCAAAACACAATAGCACTATTGTGGCTTATTGGGTTTCAAGAAAACAGCAAAAGAGAAAATAAGCCTAGAGCCATAAATCAAAAGAGGCCACAATCATGAACTAGCTATAAATAACAGCAGTTAGACATAATCCAAACAGCAAGATGTAAGACGCATCATAATTAAGAGAAGACATGCAAAAGCCAAGATTGCACCCACTGCCTGATGTTTAATAATCAATCACTTATTGTGAGACCTCTTCTGTAACTTGCTTACCTTCATGATTATTTCATAAACATCATCAGCAACCAATGGAGCTTTCTGTCCTGATCTAGCATTAAAGTGGTTGTACATCTCTTTGATCCTGCAACAAAAAAAATCAATGTCCAATAAAACCTAAACAACTGGAATTTAACAAATATGAATTGATAAAAATAAAGGAGGATGCTCCCAAAAAGTAATCAAACAGGAGCCAGATCATCCAAACTTACGTCTCTGAAAATGATTTCTTGGTATTCTTGTGTAGGTTTGAAATAACGATCCTTGCAGCAAGCTTAAACAAATAACAAAGGCTATGTCAGACCATGTCATTCATAACCATTAGAAACAATCAAAGAGCAATAAATAATCACTGAGCAAACCAAAAAAAAAAACCTAGAAAAATATAACAACAAAGAAAAAGAAGGAAATGACCAATAAAATAAGAACAACCAATAGCAACCTATTTGTGGTGATATGTATCTCACAATCCCTAGAGAGCACAAAAAGAAAAGAGGCTAAATAAATGAAATCTGCATCTTGAGACAGAACAAGAACACCAAGAGCTCATGTTTAATGCAAAATAGCCTAAAGAAATATTCATACTGGAAATACCATCCTTTCCATATGTCTTTTTGTTTTCACAAACAAGTGCTTGATGAAGCAGTAGAGCTGTAGCATCTATAAAAGATGTCTTACGTTTAAACTCAATCATGATTAAACTTATAGTTTTAGGATCCAAGCTCAGTCTTGATCATTAATGTCTTGACCGCATAAATATTGCACCCTATGTTTGAATCCTGCCATTGAACACTGCAAAAAGAAAGTTTGTTTGCTTTGTAAATAGGAGAAAATTTAAAATCATAGAGTCAAACAAGAGAGAGTTTGCATATTTATTGTTTACTGGATCATATCCCAAAATTATACTCATGACTTGTTAAGCCCAAACCCAACCAAAAAACTAAAATGAACATGAAAAGGGGGACAGAGAGAGAGAGAGAGAGAGAGAGAGAGAGAGAGAGAGAGAGAGAGAGAGAGAGTAGACGACGACGAACGAACGAAACGTAAACGTAACGTACGTACGTACGTAAACGTAAAAGAAAAAAACGAAAAACGAAAACGAAACCAACCAACCAACCAACC